CTATCTGTCTTTTACTAAGGAATTAGGCTAGTGTGATCCAAAGAAAAGCCTTTTATACTTCCAATATTAGAAAAAAAAAAAATATATATATATATATATATATATATATATATATTTTTTTTTTTTTTGAGACAAGCTTTGGCTGTATTACCCAGGCTGGACTGCAGTGGTGCCATCTTGGCGCACTGCAACCTCTACCTCCCAGGCTCAAGCCACCTTCCTATCTCAGCCTCCTGAGTTGCTGGGACTACAGACATATGCCATGATGCCTGGCTAATTTTTGTACATTTTGTAGAGACAGGGTTTTGCCATGTTGCCTAGGATGGTCTCAAACTTGTGAGCTCAAGCAATCTGCCTGCCTCAGCCTCCCAAAGTGCTGGGATGACGGGTATCAGCCACTGTGCCCAGCCAGAAAAACAAACCTGTTTTACACCAAAAATTTTAAAAAAAAAAAAAAAAAAAGGATTTTTAAAAGTAGTAATCTGATATTTAAAATAAGCTTTCCTTTGAGACAATCTAGGCATTTATTAATCTAAATTCCTAGGGATTCATTGACAAAATTCATTTATTCATTGAATAAATATTTATGAAACATTCCTGGATACCGAAACCTGTTTTCTAGGCATTTGGTACACAGTGGGAACTTGTCTACTGGAGGTAAGAAAGGGTTAACAGGAAAAAGAAAGACGTAGCAGCATTTTTTTAATTAAAAAAAAAATCAATCTTTGTGGACCTCCTTTAAGCTTATATAGCATGTGGACTTTTCCCTTTCATTAAATTTAAACTATACTCTGTTCTTGGTTTAAATATCATTCCACACCTTAAGAATGATCTAAAGGCAAGGAGTGTACTTTGTCTTTGAATCCCAGGGACTTAGGTAGGTATTTGGTTCATTATAATGGCTCAAGAAAAGTAGTTAAATAGATTCCCCTACTTTACAAATGTCTTCTTTCCTTCTCAAATTAATACTCATAACCCTGCTTCTATTTCCTCCTCTTCCTCATCCTACTATCCCAAAATAAAAAACCAATACTAATTTTATATTGGAAACACTCACATCCCTCAGGACTGATGATTGAGCACAGGCTACTTAATCAAAATCAAACATGCTTAGCTCATAGAAAGTAGTCAATACAAAAATTATTAAATGAATTGAATGATTACAATTTTTTTAAAAAAGTCATTCGGAAAAGTAGTAGGGAGAAGCTACACCCCTCTAAACACAAGTTCTAGAAAGCATTTAAAGAGAATTCATACATTGTTTGATCTTGCAACAAAAATCCAAGTGAAACCACAAATAAAAGCCAGAGGTATTATTAACACTGGAGGAACATCAACTTACAAGTGTGAGCAGAAACAAAGTTGCATAGCTAAGGACTTAAGAATTGCCAGTCTTGCTAATACAACGTTGTCTTTTTCTATATTATGCCTGAGTTCTTTTCGGGCAAAGTGGATTTCTAACTTCTGGTTTAACTGGGAGGCTGAGATACATGTCTAACTTCTCAAATAGAGACCTGCTCTTGCCTCTCTAGCAATGAATGAACAGTTACATTGGTTACAATTAGTTTTTGCTTTTGGAGCATCTCCCAGGGGTGATATGCGAATGCTCAGGAGGAAAAGGTTGTGAGGCAAATCTGGAAGCTAGGGCTCTGCTGGAGCAAATATGCTCTTGTGGGATGTGGCTGTGAGCACAGTATGTGTTAAAACGCAAATAACACAGCCAAAGCACCAAATGCCATAGTTTTTAAATTAAGAGGACTATTCTGGGCAGTTATAGACGTATACATATAGAGATGCATTTATATTTCTGTTACCCGAAAACCTGAAATCATGTGAACAATGAGTCGGGCTTTATTAAAATCATTGGAAAGACCATTAATTCAATGTTTTACCTCAGTGAGTGGCCAGCACCAAGTCCTCCATCTGAAGCTTGAACCCTTGGAATTCACACGGCCAATTATGCAATACTAGACCATTGGGAAGCATTTCTGTCTGGGTCAGCTGGTGATCAGATTTTACCCTGCAGCACCAAGATTGATAGACCTTACAATTTTATCCTGGTTAGTGCAGATGCTGTTTTTACATAAGTTTTATAATAACCTCCTCTTTTTCCCAAAAGAAAAAGAACAACCTAAGCCCACTTTGGGCTTGCTCTGACAACATCTCACAATGGTGAGATGAGTACCCTGATCACTGGCTTAAGAAAAATAAATTCCTTTTGTGATTTCTGAGTTTGCTGTGTTTTAATTTCATTGAATGCTGTGTATACTTGTTTATGAGAAAGAGTGAAAAGGGATAGTAATTTGCCCCTCTCTCCTTTTACAAGGCTTTTTTTTTAGCCTGAGGGGGATGGGAAAGAGACTCATTCTTAGAAGGTACAGGATATCAATGCAAGAGCTGTTAGTTTCCCTGAGGCTAATGACGAGGTATAATTTTGAAACATCACATTCATATGCATATATGGTGCATACATACATAATTAGTGTGTTTACAAAGCACCTTGCAGAATCTTAGAACTCTTAGTTCTATTAACCTTAAAGGGGAAACCGGAGTTCAGATCAGTCAAGCACAATGGACTGTGGTTGCTTTCAATTATATTCACATTATCTATGTCTAGGAAAGAGATTTCCAAAAAAGTAAAATATATTATATGAAGCACTGCCACAGTCTGTTACACATTTAGCTGCTTCTACAGTTCCAATTACAGAATAAGCACTAGCTACTCTATGGAACAACAGCACTAGCCAAAAAGATTTTTCTAATCTGAGAGAAATGCTCCCTTATTGACTCTGCTAAGAGAAACAACTCCCCTTTCCTTGACAATAAACGAGGAAGACAGATGGCTTCTTGTTTAGGACTGTAATTTTACTTTCAGCCTCCTCCCTGAGTTAAAAACAAGATGTACTTTTCTGGCTTTGAGGGAAAAATCTCAAGGGAATGTTTTTTATTCCTGGCTGTACTGAATAATTCAACAAACATTTGAGAGAGCTGAGGGAGATACAAAAGAGAAAATACTTTTCCTTGTTCTCAGGGAGTTTACAATCTAATTCTGGAATTTACAACCAGAATTGGGACTAGAACCATTAGAGTTTTATGTCTTCACTTGTATTTATTGGTCTAATGGCTGCCGGAAACATGTAAGATTTGCCAGCTCCGTGGTATGGTGGACCCTCTGATCAAATTGAAAGGAAACTAGGAAGAATGCCGAATTCAAGATCTCAAGCAGCTGAGTACTTGCTGACGTAGCAGCATATTTTTATGTTATTTAATCTTGACCACAAGACTTTGCAGTCATACCTGCTACCAGCATTTCACAGCAGAGGACAATGAGATTTGGAGAAGTAATGCGTCCACAGTCACAAACTCAGGAAATGGCACAGGAAAACACCGATTAGGAATTCTTCTCTGGCACTTTCTGTTGCTGTCCCCTTACAGGCTCCCATTCCAACTTTCCTTTGCTTAAATTCCCTTTCAATGTATGTAAAGTCAACTGAATTCGGTGTTCTTTTCTTCCCTTTAAAGTACTCTTTAAAACTTGATGTCTCATATTTGGTGAATCAGTCCTTTTGGAAGTCTCACTCCCTGGCATCTTTGCAAATCAACTTACTTCCTTTTCTGTCTTTTGAGACATTCTTTGACAAGATGAAAGGAGGTGTGAAGGTTATAACATTGCCTGACAATGTGGTTCTCTTAACATTAATCATTATCGTTAGTTTTATTTCTTTCACTATTTTTTTTTTTTTTTTTTTTTTTGTAGGGGGTCTCTCTGTCGCTCAGGCTGGAGAGAAATGGCACAATCTCGGCTCACTGCAACCTCCACCTTCTGGGTTCAAGTGCTTCTTCTGCCTTAGCCTCCCGAGTAGCTGGATTACAGGCGCCCGCCACCACGCCTGGCTAATTTTTGTATTTTTAGTAGAGTCAGGGTTTCGCCATGTTGGCCAGGCTGGTCTTAAACTCTGACCTCAAGTGATCCACCTGCCTCGGCCTCCCCAAAGTACTAGGATTACAGGCTTGAGCCACGGCGCCCGGCCATTTCTTTCGCTTTTTAACTGTTTTCACCTCACACTGTATTTCCTAGCGACTCTTTTGGAGTCACAAATTTCTTGAAGGTACTGACCATGTCTACTCTAACTTGTTACTACTTACTTCCTTGAGTCTATCGGTTTAGCAGCAGGAACTTGGTAAGTCTCTTTTGTTAGTGTCTTTATTCCCAGTACCGGTTACTGGAACTTAGCATGTCTTCAATAAGTATTTTTAATATCAATAAATTAATGTCCGCTTATTGTTTTTTGTAGACTATCCTGTATAAGAAAGTTTAGCTTAGATCCAATATGGCTTTTGACTGGCGAACCTGGATAACTTTTTGCCTTTTCCTTATTTCTGGCTCTTTATTACCATTTCAACCTTGGGGACGTTTCATTAGGTTCTTGGTCCCTTTCAAGGCTCAGTTTCCACATCAGCAAAATGGGGACAGTAGCAACAAATGCTTGTTTCTTCCCGTCTTCTATCACCCATTCCTTCTCCAGGAAAGGTTTCTTGTGTACGCTTTCCTCTGGAGAGAGAAAAAAAAAACAGCGACGGAGCGGTAAGAGGCCATCAGGATCCTCAGCTGCGCGCCCAGCGGGAAGGGTCTGAAGTCCCGCCTGCCTCCGGAGCCTGGAAGCAACCGGGCCCCTTCTCGGCAGCGAGTCGGCCCCGGTCTTCGGCTGCCTCAGTCCGCGCTGCCCGCTCGCCTCGAGGCAGAGAGCTGCCTCGGTGCCACCGCTAAATGAGCCCGGCGCCGCGCAGTCTCTGACACGCGCGGAAGGGCCCGGCCTCGTTCTGGCTGCCGCCGCCCTGCCGCCCGCGCGGCGCTGCACTGGGGGCGGGGAGTCTGATGGGAGACGCGCGCGGCGCTGAGGAGGCGGCGGCCCGGGAGAGGGAGCGGGAGAGGGACTGGGCGCGGGAGGCGGGAGGCGGGGGACAGAGGGAGGCGCCGCCGCCGCCGCCGCCCGCCCCTTTCCGCTGGGGAGCAGCTGCAGCAGCAGGAGCAGAGCAGGAGCCGCGCAGCCGCCGCCGCCGCCGCCGCCGCCGCCGCCGCCGCCACCGGGGGATGTGGCCGGCGCCTGCCCCGAGCCGCGCCGTCCCTTGAGTACCAGCCGCTGCCACCGCCGCCGCCGCTGCCGCCGAACCGTGCAGGGCCAGGCCGCGCCCTCCCCGGGCGCCCGCCGGCTCGCATGCCGAGGGGCTCCGGGGCGTAGCTGCGCGCCCGGCGCCGCCTCCGGGCTCCTTCGGCCCCGCCATGGGCTGCTGCAGCTCCGCCTCCTCCGCCGCGCAGGTGAGGGGCTCCCGCCTCCCGGCTGCCCGCCCGGATGCCTCCCTTGCTCCGCGTCGCGCAGCGGGCACCTGCCGCCCGGTTGCCTCTCGCTGTCCCCATCCTCCCCTGAGCGCACCGTGCAGTCCAAAGATCCCCACTCCGCCTCTCCCTTCCCCGGGTCCCGCTGATGCCCGCGCGCTGGCTCCGCGGCTGCGGACTCGCAGGCGCCTCTGCGCGGCCCCCAGTGCGCCCTCAGCGGCCCCCTTCCCCACTTGGCCCCCTCCCAGTCACACCTGAGCGGCCCGTCCCGCCCGCCGGCAGGTAGAGGCTGCACTGGCGCCTCCTCTGCCCCAGGTGGCATCCCCTTCCCTGGTCTTCCGGGCCTGGCTCCTCTCTTCCACCTCCGTGGAGTCTCCCCGCCATCCGCCGCCTGTTTTCTGTGCTCCTCGCAGCTGTACCCCCAGCAAGGGCTCTTCAGCTCTCCCACCGAATTCCAGTTTCTGCTTCATTAGATATTCGGTCCCTTTTCTCTTGCCCGCCGCCCCCCGGTTGGGTTCAGGTGTTTCAGCGGGTCCCGGAGCCCTTCCACGGCCCGCTCTGCAGACCTCGCTTGCTCGCTCGCACCCCATCCCCCCTTAGTGCCGTGACCCGGGCCCCGCGGCCTCACCGCACTTGGAGGCCCCTGCGGGAGCGCCGGCTCTGGGCTGGGAAGGAGATTGGGCACCTGGTGGGTGACGGGAGCGTTACGGAAACTCCCTCTTTGTTGCCAGTGTAACAGGAGGAAGAGGTTCCGAATTTAGTTTTTCTGTGGGCACTGGCTGAATGTTGTCGCTGAGGGCTGAGATGCAGAGATTTCTCCCAGCTTCTACCCTGCCCCCATCCAAATTTCGCTAACCTCTTTCTCTCGGTTCCGAGCTCTTAACCTGGGTGGAAATGTTTAGACAACTGTATGAGGATCAAATGTAATAGAACTTGACTGCTGGCCACTAATAACTGAGAGGACCTGTTTGTAAATTACCTAATTTAGTGGATTAGTGAGTGTATTTACAAATACGATAAAAAGCAATCAGGAATACTGCATCAAACTGTCTTGTGGTGGTATATGAAAAATAGGCTCTGACAACGCCTGGGATGTAATCTCACAGTTTCATTAGCGTAGAATTTAACTGTGTCTGTGATTTGTTTGTTTTAGGGGTAGAAAAGGGCTCTTGTTTTTAGAAATAAAGGATGGTTGGTTCCTGGTGAAGAAAAATTGCTAGTTTGAGGGAAAAAAATTCCTGTAGCGATCTAGCATCTGTGATAATGCCAGAAGTGTTTTTGCTGCTGCTAAATGACTATATATAACTCAGTTTTAAATAACCTGCATACTTGTTCTGAAAATCTGAGATCTGCTAGAGAGAAAATGACTAGAATTGCAGATGAATGGGGGACATTTATGTTTTATTAGGTATCCATCCTATCATCCTATTCCTCTAGTCCTTTTTTGTCCCCCAATGTTTGCTTACCCATTTGCTTTTTTTTTTTTTTTCTACTAGTATTATAGTCAGGCTTATTGGTATAAACATTATTATTCAGTTATAATAGCAAAAAAAAACTATATGTAGAGGTGTTAGGAAGGAGACACTTTGTATGTCAGAGTTTTCATATTAACATATAAAGGTGTAGAATTACAAATAACTTTCAACTGGTTAGGAATTGGTGGGGGTTCTAGTTGGTTGCTGTTCATCTAATATTTATTTAAATATAATTTTCGCCAAAAGGTGTTTTTCAGATTGCCTTTCTTTTTAGAATTCAATTGATTTACATTCTGTTTCGGTAGTGAAATACCTTTAAGACAGAAAAGTATTGATAGTTTATGGATGGCTTGTTCAGTGCATGAACAATTAAATTTGGGAGGGATGGGTGCTGCACTAGAACTCTGCTTTAAAACAGGTAGTGGGTCTTGCATTTGTCTAGCTCCAAGCCATACTTTTTAGAATGCTATCGTATACGTTTTCTTTTCTTTTACATCTTCTCAGTGTAGAACATACCATGTTCTACAGATACGATGCATGTCATGCACCCAAGGGGTGCATTTTTTTCCTGTGGATTCCTATAACCAATCAACAGCTGTCACATGCCTTTAAGTTCAGCTTTAGGGACTTGTAGTGTTCAGTGGAGCATTGAGGAGCAGGTTTTGTGCCAAAGAGCTTTTTCTTTTTTTTCTTTTTTTTTTTTATTCTTATTTGAGATTTTTGGCATCCTTCTTCATTTGTGAAATGTTAATAATCTGCTGGCATTTTAACTCTCCTTTCAGGAACATCACCAGTTTTAGAACACTGTTGTTCCTATATGTGTTTTGAAGCAAAATAGCGTTGCAATTCCACATCTTCTTCAGCCTCTCTTAGGCATCTCAAATGTTCAAATATATTTTCTTTTTCTTCTTCTTCTTTTTTTTTTTTTTTTTTAAGACAGAGTTTTGCTTTTGTTGCCCAGTCTAGAGTGCAATGGTGCAATCTCGGCTCACTGCAACCTCTGCCTCATGGGTTCGAGTGATTCTCCTGCCTCAGCCTCCCAAGTAGCTGGGATTATAGGCATGCACCACCTCACCTGGCTAATTTTGTATTTATAGTAGAGAAAGGGTTTCGCCATGTTGGTCAGGCTGGTTTCGAACTCCTGACCTCAGGTGATCCACCTGCCTCAGCCTCCCAAAGTGCTGTTATTACAGACATGAGCCACTGCACCTGGACAGGGGTCTCAAATGTATTTTCACATAGAATATGTTTGTTTCATCCCTTCTACTGGATTGTGAGCTTCTTGAGCATAGGAACTGTTTTTGTTTTCCTTATCTGTGTATTCACTGCAGTGCGTCACTGTACCTTGTGTGTAATAGTTGCTCAGCAGTAGTCACCAGAGGGAATACATACACATATATTTGAACCTCTGGCTGGCAAGTGGCATCAAATGTGAATCTAGACCTGACCCTTCTTCTGTTTGAATTCCATGGGCTGGTTGACTAATTCTGCCAAGACATCCTCTTCTGAACTCAAACCTGGACTGTTTAAGTTAAAATTTACTTGCCTTTCCTATATTCCTTCCTATTCTTTTCATGGTACCATCAGCTTGCAGAACTGTGCAAAGTTTTCCTTTGCTCCTGATGACTTGCTTAATGTGTGTGTTTGGAGCAGTGGCTATAACATCTTAAAAGAGCTCCTCTGCAAACTCTGATGATAACCTACACAACACATCAAAACAGTGTGCTTTGAGGTAATCTTCAGTTCAGCTTAGCTTTTCTCAGCAGTATCTTTGGCAACTTTAAATCCCTGGTAGGTTTTATCAATGTAAATAAAGTGCATTTTCTTTTTGTGGCAAGGATTCACTTTTGAAATATAATTTATTTTCCTTTATAGTCTCTTGCTGTGTTGTAGATTCTTATAAAAGAGTTTGTGGTCTTCCAAACTTTCATCTCTTGTAATCTGTCCTGGTATTATTTTCATTTTCTTGGCAGTGTCTGGGTATCGTAATTTTCCATCCAAATAATTATACTGTTTTAGGATTTAGATCAAAGAAAAGTGTCACATTCTATACTAGTATTTCATTGCTAGATGAGCAAATTATTGGCAAAATAATTTGTTCTGTATTAGCTATGTACGTCTAATAATCTTAAAAGTGTGTAGTGAGTCAGGGCTCTTAAAGAACTTTTAAAATTATTTTTTAAAAATTAGTGGCCATTACAAGTTATTTACTAATATGGGTAATTGCTCAATACAAACCAACACATGATAGTCTTTGCCTAAAAGCCTTTTGAGGTGAACATAAAAGTAAGATAGTCTTGAGTTTCTTTTTACAGTACTAATCCTCCCTAAGACTCTTACAATTTGTTCCCATCTCCCTATAATTCGTTTGTTCTGTTATAACCTGACATAATTTCTATCCTTGTAATGTTAAACTTCAAAGTTCACTTGTAAATCTTCAGATTTATTAAATGCTCTTTCCCATTGACAAACCAGTTTGAATGAATCTTTTGAAAGATTACTTAGCAAATTGCCATAAGCCTTTATCCTTAATGGCTTGATCATTATTTCTCACAGCAGTGCTTTGGAGGCAAGGAGATTTTGCAAGTTCTGTGAAGTTCTATGTCCTTCAGTTCTAACCTTAGAAACTGTGAGAGGGATGGAGGAGAATCTTTTGAGTTGAACAAACTGCCTCTTGTCTGTCTAGCTTTAGGGGACTTTTGTCCACTGTCTCATCCCATGGTCTTCAAATTGAAGGCTGTATAGTAACTGTCTTTTTCTAGCTCTCATATTCTGTTTTGGGAGTAATAAAAACGATCCAAAGTGGTTTACAAATGCTGGTTAATATTTGCATATGCTAACTGTGCTTTAACAGAATTTTAATAATGCTGTCATCTATAGCAGCTTTGTGGAGTTTGAAGTCAGGTGGTAAAAATTAAATTTGAAGAGTGTGGTGGGAATTACCAGCAGAGACTAAGTTGCTCAATTAAATTATGACCTGCAAAGTAAACTTGCTCTAACCGGAACAGAAATCACGACATGAAGCCTTTTTTTTTCTTTCATCTTCTGAATACTGTGCTGTTAGCATAGAGGATCTACTCCTCAAAATATGTAAATCAAAGTTAGTGTCCAAATTGGAAAATAATGTAGAAATGATATTTTATTTTTTAAGACGGAGTTTCACTCTCAGCGCCCAGAGTGCTGTGGCGTGATTTTGGCTCACTATAACCTCTGCTTCCTGGGTTCAAGTGATTCTCCCGCCTCAGCCTCCCAAGTAGTTGGGATTACAGGTGCTCACCACCACACCCAGCTAATTTTTTTTTTTTTGCATTTTTAATAGAGACGGGTTTTTACCATGTTGGTCAGGCTTGCCTCGAACTCCTGACCTCACGTGATCCACCTACTTTGGCTCCCAACTGGGATTACAGGCATGAGCTATCATGCTGGGCCAAGAAATGGTAATATTTTTTTGTATAGCTGTTTTCCACAACAATTTTCATGTTTTAATTCCTATAGTAACTCTGAAGT